TCCCCTGCCTCACTTGCCACAACCCAGCCTGCCTCAAAATTCCCAGCGCAGCTCCCACAAAGGCAAATGCCCACTTTTATCACACAGCAAAGGTTGGATGGCATGAGACACCTCCTTTCCCCTGGCAACCAGAGAGCTGCCATCCGTTACCCCTGCATTCCCCCCAAAAGGATCCCAACATGCCCTTATTCCCTGAGCAATTCCTTCCCTTTAAGGGCTTGGAGGGATCATTTATTCCCACTGGATCAGACCAGCAAGGAAGCCCTGAATTCCCACTTCTCAGGGACAGGAGGGGGAAGGCAGTGGGGAAGGGAAGGCTCCCTCTGGTTCCCGCCCTCCTGGAGGGGTTGGATTTTCCCACTCCAGCTCCCCGGAAGAAATTGCCAGAAGGGCCCCAGAAGCTGTGGGGGACTCCGAGGGCAGCTGGCCAAAGAATCCATGGGCAGCTCCCAAAGGAGCCCAGAATATCCCCCCAAGGAGCCCAGAAAACCCCCAAGCCATCCATGTGCATCCCCCCAGAAGCCCAGAGGACCTCCCAAAGGATCTGGATCCATCCCCCACAGAATCCCAGAAGATTTCCCCAAAGGATCCCTGACCTCAGCAGGAGAGGGGACAGCGGTGCCTGGATTTCCCCCAGGATCCGGCAGATCTCCTCCTTCCAGTGCCACCGGGATCCCTCATCCCCTCCGCATCCATGGGCCCGGCTGGAGGCAACATCCTGCACCCTGGGGGGGAAGGGAGGGGGGAGCACCCTGGGATCCGCGTGCCGGGATCCAGGGAGCCTCGGCGGCATTCCCGGCATCCCACTGACCCGACATCCAAGGACTAAACAGGATCCCCCAGGAATGGGGGCCCGCCCCTCCCGGGCTGAGGGTGATCCCGGGATCCCCCCAATGCTCCCACCCACCTCCTGCTGCCGCAGATCTTCCCTGGGAGCTCCCTGGGGGTCTCCGATGGAATTTCCCATTCCCAGGAGGCGAGGAATCCGCAGACCCTCCGGACCAGCCACCCCCGGAACCTAGAGGGGACACACAGGGAGAACCTGGAGGGGGGGCTTTTCCAGGGGGATCACCCCCCCAGAATGCCTCTTTACCAGGATTTGGGATTCATCTCCGTTTTACAGTTAGGAATTCGGAGGTGATGCTCCAGGCCGCCCAGCAGGAAGGAAAGCAGGCATTCAGGCCATCCCAAATCACGGAATTTTCCCAATCCTCCCCAAATCCACAGAGAGTGGGGTGGGACACAGCTTTGGGATATCCCAGAGCGTGCAGGAAGGGACAGAGTGGGACAGGGGAACTGCATTCCCTGGGATCCCAAGGGATTCGTCTAAGGGTTTCAAAGCTGGAGCTGGGAATATTTGGAGCTGAATGGAGGATAATGATCTGATGTGGGATAAAACACAGCACACAATGGTTAATCCAGGGATTCTTCCCAAAGGGGAGAGGAGCCAAAGGGATCTGGCTCTTTTCCCTGTTCCCGGGGAGCCAGGCTCACTCCCAGCGATACCGGCTGGAGCCAGCGAGAAGAACAATCCCCCAACTCCACCTTCTTCCCATCAACACTCCAAGTTTTGCTTCAAGAAAACAACAAATGACCCCAGATCCTCCATTCCATGGCTGGACCACAGCCCAAGCCCTCACAGACGCCACTTCCAGCCTCCCAAAATACCATTCACAAGCTCGGTTTGGGATAATTTGGGAGCGGGGAGGATGGCGAGGGATTCCCATGTGGATTTGGGGGAAATCTGGGGAAAAGGGCCGTTTTCCAGCTGTTTTCCAGCACGCAGCTGATCCAGCCTCACCGTGTGTCCCTCTCCGTCACACGGCTGATGTCACGGAATCCCAGAGTGGAGAGATCCTCGGCATAGAATCCATCCTGGGAGGAAAAGCGGGATCAGATCACTGGCAACGCGGATCCTCGGCACAGGGATCCTGTCACCACCATCCCCCATCCCAAACTCTCTCACCCAACTCCTGGGGGTGCAGGTCTGGCAGCAGCGCCCCAAAAACGGACGGTGATATTTTCCCAGGAACGGGATGAAAACTTCCAGGTTTTCGTCCGAATTGCTGATCCAGGTTTTCATCTGAGGAGGGAAAGAAAAACGGGAAGGGGGGGGGATGGGACAAACCCTGGGAATGCCAAATGTGGGTGGATACACCCCAAAACACGCTCATGCTGTGAGGTATCCTGATGTTGGGCAGCAACCCCGCTGGGGTTGGGGACCTCCAGGATGGGGGGGATTCAAGGTGGGAAGGGGCTGGTGGCAGTGGGGGGGTCCCCAGGGCGTCAGGTACCTTGGGGGGGTGTCACAGGTGGGGGGACACCCCCAAACTGGAGAGCAGAGGTGATGAGGCTTGAACGTCCTGGAGACAGAAAGGGGTGGAAAGTGGGAATTTGGCAGGTTTGGGGCACATGGAGCAGTCTCTGGGAGAGGGACCCCCCGTGTGCCCCACAGGGAATTGGGGAGGGGGGTAACACAGCCGACACCCCCAAGAGGGATTTGGGGTTAGTAACACCCCCCCACACCCCACAGGGATTTGGGGTGGGGCAGCACACCCCACATCCCCTATAGGGCTGGGGGGTAACATACCCCACACCTGCCCCCCACACCCCACAGTCCCTACAGGGCCCGAGATGGGGGGCAGCACCCCCTGCACAGGCCCCACAGCCCCCAGAGACCCTCTGGGGGGAACACACCCCACACGGGCCCCGCTGCCCCCCAGCCCGGGGGATGTGCCCCAGCGCCCCTCTGCAGCTTTGGGGGGCCCTGAACCCCCCCGGCCCGGGGGGCTCGGCCCCACAGGCCCTGCACGGCTCGGGGGCTCACACGCCCCACACCCCCGGGGGTCCCCCGGC